CAGCTCGCTTTTCCCGTCGCCGGCAAGACGAACCCAGCTGAGACACACGCCCGCTTCAGCTGCCGGGAACAAGGCGGCCCTTTTTTCTGCGTGGCTTTCATTTGAAATGCTAAGAGAGGCGCAGCAGGAGGAAGCGTCTCGCCTCGCATCAAAGGGCCCCTTTGATTCAGCCCTCTTCCCCTTTTTTCCCATCTCTCCCTGCCTGCGTGAGCGCCGGCTTATTCAGAAAAGCAGGTGATCGGCACTTTGCGCGCCGGATGATTTTGTGTCTTTCTGTCTCCTCCTCCTCTTTCTAATTGCTTTCCTTTTTTTCCCCCTTTTTTATTTTTTTTGTTCCACCTTGATCCTTTTTTCTCCTCGCCACCCCCCCATGCTGCGAAGACACGCGACTGTTGTAATGTTACTTACGCTGGCTTTCCCGCGTTCTCTCTCCCGTCTTCTAGATAACGGGAGCCATCCTGCTGGCCGTGGGAGTATGGGGGAAGCTGATGCTGGGCCCGTACATCTCCCTGATAGCCGACAACTCCACCAACGCCCCCTACGTGCTCATCGGCACCGGCACCGTCATCATCGTTTTCGGCCTGTTCGGGTGCTTCGCCACCTGCAGAGGGAGCCCCTGGATGCTGAAGCTGGTGAGCGGGAGGGGAGGGGGGAGGTGGTGGTGTGGTGTGGTGGTCAGCACCATGGCCGCACAGCCGGAGGGTTCTGGGCTCGAGTCCCCTGGGGGAACCAGGACCTTTCTCTGTGGAGTTTGTGTTCTCCCTGTGTCTGCGTGGGTTCTAAGGCTTCCTCCCACCGTCCAAGAACCTGCATGTTAGGTTGATTGCACATTCCAAGGAGTGTGTGTATGAGTGTGTGTGGTTGTGTGTCTCTGTGTGACCCTGCGATGGACTGGCGGACCGTCCAGGGTGTAACCCGCCTCTCGCCCATTGACTTCTGGGATAGGCTCCAGTCCCCCCGCGACCTCATTATGGAATAAGCGGTTATGATAATGGATGGATGGATGGATGGGGGCACTGAGTGTGTTTGAGTGTGTGCGGCCATAGGCAAATAACGCTCCCCCGGAACGGTCACCATGCAAATCCCCCTCTCCTCCCCACAGTACGCCATGTTCCTGTCGCTGGTCTTCCTGGCTGAGCTGGTGGCCGGGATCTCTGGATTTGTGTTTCGCCACGAGGTCAGTATCTCTTTTTATTCCCCCCTTTTTTTTTTTTGTGAGTCCGCGTTCGTGTCGGGGATTAACTCGGTTCCGCTCGCACGCCGCAGATCAAGGGGACCTTCCGCCGGACCTACACCGACGCCGTCCTGAACTACAACGCCGAGGACGAGGCGAGCCGCGCCGTGGATAACCTGCAGCACAGGGTGAGCGCCGCCATCATAGCCCTGCACCTCTTTAGCCCGCTCTGGACCACGACGGGTTTAAACCTTGACCATCAGGGGGCTTTACAGCCTGCCTCTCACCCACAAACAGATTCATGCAGCAGCCGTTATATTAGACACAGGGCAGTTTTTGCTCTTTCTCTAATACCCATATGACTCATTTCCCCAAGGTTCCTCAAAAACATTCGCCTGTGATGAGCCCAACTTGTTTAGTGTTGATTTATTTACAGATACAATTGCAGTTTGCCCACACCCTAATTGCTCATCGTTCTGACTTAAGCCTAATGGATAAACTACCATACCTGCTAAAAACTGTCATTTACAGACCGTCCCAGCACAAGATGCATGTTTTGTTTTCATTTCATGTTAGTTATGTCAGTGAAAACTTTGTTTTTATACTCTGCAGCAGTTTTTTCACACATAAAGAATTAATGATGACACTTGCAAACATTTAGTTACGAATCAGGATGTCAAGCCTGTTCCAAAGCTTTATTAGATTCTTAAAGGTTCCATGCAGTGCATATTGAAGGGAACTGACAGTGGCAATGCAATGAATGTATTTCAAAGTGTCATAAAGCTGACAGAAGTGTTCAAATATAAAGTAAATTCAGATTGTTTCAGTAGCTTGGACTGATTTACTGTTACTGACCACCAGAAGATGCGCTTCCAGTATTATTCAGAAAAAAAACAGAAAAACATTCAATACAGGTAAGGATTTTCTGCACCTCTAAAACAGGCACAAAGCATATAAGAGCAGCCCATACTGAAAATAATCGAACGTTTCTTTCGCTGTTTGATGAAACTTTTCCACTGCATTTAATAGGAACGAAAGTAAAAAACTTAACAGTTGAATTTGCATTTATACTCATCATCAGCAAAGTTTCCCATCTTCTCCTGTAGAATCCAGAGGTCTCGCAGGTTCAGGCTTTGTGCTTTGGTCAAGAGGTTGTTTTCCATATCTGATAATTAGATCCAGAGACCAAATCCACTTATAGGTCAGGAGGTCATAATCATTACCGAGAAGATCTTTAAAAAACTGTCAGCAACCCACCTACGTGTGAGGATCGTGCAGAACCATGTTTCAGTCGTATATGAGGAGACTCTTTCTCTCCTCCTGGATGCTTGAGCCTCTGAACATCTTTCTTTGAGGTTGGGTCAGGGTTAGTGATCCAACAGCGGTCAGTGCATGGAGAAACAAATCCAGATTCCGCTTTGGTTTATGAACAAATCTCCTGAAAATCTACAGTATCCAGCTGTTGCGGGGGAGATTATACATCTGTTTCAAGACAGATCATTTTTCTCTCTTTATTTTTTCAGTTTTATTCAAAGGCCCACTTGAAGTCTACTGAAAGATGGAGCAGTGAACCAGGTTATATTTATAATCTCGTTCTCCTTTACCGTTTCTAGCTGCGTTGCTGTGGAGTTTACAACTACACTAGCTGGTTCGGCAGCGTGTATTACCCCTCCAACGGCATCCCCCCCAGCTGCTGCTTCAACTCCTCCGACTGCAACCCAGAGGATCTCCGCAATGCCACCGTCGCTCCCAACAAAGTTTTCCACCAGGTGGGTTCCCCCCGTCTGCAGCTCAGCGGCTGATCAGAATCAGAATCAGAATCAATAAGGTTTATTGCCAACTAGGTTTTTAGACTTACAAGGAATTTGCCTTGGTGTTTGCTGCACAACACAACACTTCTATGAGAAGAAGGAAATAAAATGTAGAAATAAAAATATAGGACAGAAATGATAAAACTGAAAAATACAATCTTTAAAGATATAGATCTGAATGTACAAATGAACAAATTTTAAAAATATAGATCCGAATATAGATCTGAATGTACAAATGAACAATTCTTGAAAGCTTATTCGTTAGGACACATCCGGCTCTCTTCATGTACCCCTTTCAAATCTCCGCTTTCTCCACATACCACCGACGGCCTCAGATACGCTCCGGCGTGCCCCTCCTGCCCCTACTGTGCACGTTTAACATGTCCCCGTACCCCGCGCAGACTAACCTGCCCCCCGTTTTTCAGGGCTGCTTTGAGCTGGTCACTTCCTTCATGGAAACCAACATGGCCATCATAGCTGGAGTGACGTTTGGAATCGCTTTCTCACAGGTAAGAGCCGGACAAAAAAAAAAAAGAAGAAAACAAATCCTAACAAATGCTAAACATATTGTGTGACAAAGGGTGAGCTTATGATGGGATTTCTGTCTATGTCTCTTAAAGCTGATCGGCATGCTGCTGGCATGCTGTCTGTCCAGGATCATCACAGCCAATCAGTACGAGATGGTCTAGCTTATGGGATGCGTTAGGTGAGAGAGTTTTCAAAGAGTCCAACTCATCTGAATACAAATAGAGAATAAATCTTACACCTTGGACTCGCCTGTTTTTTTTTTTGTTCTTCCCTTCCAGGTAGACGATGAGAAGAACAGACAAAGAGTCTCGACACAACAAGAGTAAATTCCCAAAACACGTCTGAATTTGAATTTGCCTGTCAGTCTCTCTGCCTGATCCTAATGTAATATGTTAATGTATCTTATTGTAAAGCACCATTCCTTGATCGACTGCGGTTGCGTCCAAGCTTTCTATACCACCCATCACATCGCCGCTTGATGTAAAAGTTGCTCATTAGCAGTTCTCGCCGCCCGCGGCTAACAGGTAAAGCAGAGTTGTCTAAGCTGACAGCAGTGTGGGTCCCCTCAGAGGCCCACGACACCCCTTTCTACACACTGTCCTCACTAAAGCCGTAAAGTAATCCTTTAATAGATTTGTTTCCTCTTACGTTTGACTTCGCTATGACTCGTCGTTATTTTGGTCAAAGGAACGGGGAATTGTCGAGAGTATTTTTTACCTGATAATGAAAAAGAACAATATTTTTTTGTCCAAAATGTAAATTATGACTGAAATTAACAATCAGTTCGAGCTTTAGCATGGAGTAAACAAATAGAAATGTTTGTTTTAAACCTCCCGCTGTCTACTTTATAGAATGTAGCCTCCACGAACTCTTAAATTGACATTTGATCCCATGGCGTTTGTTACTTAGAAATGCATTATTTGGAGTTTGAGGGGCTGGTCACACTAACTGACTCTTAATAAGATCTGTTAGACCTTTTATCTTTGTTATGGCGGCTTTTACAGTAGCAGAGGGAATGTTAAACACTGCAAAAAAATTTCAAAATCATCTCCGTTTGAACTCCCTCTCTTTTAGTCCCTCAGAGTCAGCACTTTTAAGACCAAAGCCTAAGAAATTCAAGCAAATCCTCATTGCCCCCACAAAGCTTTGATTCCGCCGAAATCGACTGATTTTGTTGCAGCGCACGGCATTTTTAGATGTTGTTGTGACCGGACCGTTCCGGGCTCTGAATAAATCCTCAAGGACTCAGTTGCGTTGAAGTTTAACATTCATGGCAGAAACTTTTGGAAGGCCTCTCCACAAAGGCTCCTGTAGTGTAAGGGGCATGCTGCGGGCCACATGCACAACCCTGTATGTGTTTTCGTGACTGAAACGGTGCGCACACAGAGCCAGAAATGATATATTTATTATGCTGTTCTGATGAGAGAGCTCCCAATTTACAAACGTTTTATCGTTATGAAACTTTACACACCCCATGAGAGTGATTTCCATTGGGACACTACCCAAATTCTCCATTTGCATATAAAAATGCTGTTTGCACCGCAGCATAATAGGTACGACAAAAAGAGAAACAATATGCAAGGAGCCTTTAATGAATGTAAAGCAGAGATGCTTAATGAAAAGGAGAAAAAGGTTGTTTTTTATGTTTCATTTCTGGAGTCAGAAACAGAACAAAAACTGTTGTTAAAAAATAGTGATAGAAATGATCAAGTCTGAGTAACCACTAGGAAAATCCTCTTGCACAAAGGCAGTATCTCACCTGCTTTTTACCTTGTTCATCCCCCAAAAGATCAGAAAACTCTGAATATTGTAGATGAGTTGATTATAAATGGCATCCAGAATTTGTTGGGTTTTTTTTATTCTAGCACTGTGTTATGTAATTAACTATTTGAAACAATATCAGTGGGGGTTCCACTTTCCCACTGCTAGTTTTCTGTCTTTTCCTGCTCATACGAGACTCAAATTGATCCAAAACTGGTCCTAAGAGGGTGTGAAGTACAAACTTTCTCTCTTTAGAGATACCTGTTTGTGGGTACAGAGGAAAAACATACATTGTTAGTGCATCTGGCCCCTCCAGCCCCGCCTACCTGGGAAAGAGGACAGGATGTCATTTAACGAGAAGCACTCTATTTGATCTATCCGTGACTTTTTGGTCTTTGTTTTTCTGTCTCCGTGTGTAAGCAACCGTCAGGATTCGGCTTCAGTAGACCGGCCGTAAAACGTGGTATGCCGACTGAGCAAGTTCCGAGCTCCGTCTGTGTCATGAATTGTTTTTTCCGTCTGGTGGATTAAAATCTAACGCCAGCGATCTTGTTACAGGGAGAGAATCAAACGATGTTCAGTTACTACTTATGGAATTCTGTGTAGTGCATCAACCTGCTGCTGCCATCATCATCCTCATCTGTAGATATGTATTGGAAATGTTATTTATATGATGTAATGTTTCTCATTCTAATATGCTAATCAGTAGCTGTTGTGTAAGGATTTTGAATCCACATTTTGTGCTGTTTATCTATATTTGTTTGATAGTTTTTAGGGGAAACTCGCACTGAAAAAAATAATTGTGGCAGGTGTTTTTGTTAAGAGTAACGCACAGTTCAGCTGTATCTTTATTATCGGTTTTGTTTGCATTGAGTTTGATGGATTTACCCAGTGATTTCACCTCTCTATCCCACCTGTGTGAGTGGGTGTGAATTTGTTTCTTTAGCTATCTCAGCCGCGAGTGTGTGTGTCTGTGTGTGTGTGTGTGTGCGTGTATGTGTGCGTGTATGTGTGTGTGTATGTGTGTGTGTGTGAGAGCCAAAGCGAGCGCCTAGACTTTTTTGCTGTGCTGTAATCGGTTTTTGGTCAGTATTTGGTTGTGGCTTTTTTTGCTTTTAAAATTGTACATTTAATTTGTGAATGTTTGTTTTCCAGCTTTCTCCTCTCTAAAACAATTGTTCTGTACATATAAAGCTGCAATACCATCCAGCTTACACGTGGGGTCACTAGATACTCGAAGGATTGCGTCATGCCGTCTACTACTGACTAAATCACCATCAGTGGTCTTATTATCAATAAATACACAGAATAACAGTTTTGTCCAAAGTGTTTTCATTTCTGATACGACTGGTTATTGTAACTGTGAGCACAGCAATTTTTCTCTTTATTTCTGTTCCTGAAAATGTTTCCAAAGGACCTCCTCTAAAAATGAAAAGACCTGTAATATTGATATAAATAGCTGCTAAAATCAGTTAATTTCCAGCACACACGCTATATTTAAGTGGACGTTGTTTTATCATTTGAACGGTATTCAAAAGGCATCGTTTGGGAGCAGAGCAGTAAAGGCGGGATGCTCGGCTCATGCATTTGTAAGAAGCTGTTGTGTCATCGGTGAAATCATGTTTAATGTTGACTGGTGTGGGGGGGAAACCATTCAAATTTGCATGTCATTTAAAATATGAAATGTATAGGCTGTGCAAAGCAGCAGAGGGCTACACAAAGTCAGACGAAGATGTATATGAGGACTTAGAAGAATATTTTATTTGACCTATAAGAATATTTTATCATTGTTAACAGAAAGATAATTAACTTTGAATCCTTCAGTCCAGTCACAAAACTCAATTTCCACTTAGGTACAGACCTTACAGAAAATAAAGAAACAGAAACGGCAGGCATGAAATTAAAGAAAAATACATGTCTCTGGATTCCAAAATTTACAAGAACGTGAGAGACATTGGGCCTAACGATGACAAGAAATAAAAATCCAATTCTTGACTGACGGATAAACGCGGTGGGCTCAGCTTCATCCATTATTCCTTATTTAACAGAAGACAAAAGAGACCTCATGTAGGAACTGAAGTCCCTTCAGATGAGGAGAACAATGCCCAGGTGTGTGACACCTGGCAGTGCTGTCAAACGCATCTGCTGTCATCCATTCAGCTGTTTTTTTGTTTGTTTTTTTAAAAGCAACAGCAGTTGTACTCACAATGTACCTGAAGTGTGTGAGTGAGTGGGCTCAAACAGTAAACGTAGTCTTTGGTCATTTTAATGTCAACCAGCACCAAAATGCAAACCCTACGACCACACCATATCTCAAAAATATCTGAATTTGACACAGTTTAATGCTGTTATTTTTTGGGCGTATGGCCTATCGATTAAAAAAAAAAAGAGTCAAAGGTTTCATAAGATGAAAAAAGATCTTGCAAACTAAACATAAACGAAGCTCAGATTTGGCATCCATAAGCCTGATAGACGGCAGACGGTGCCTTGAATGCCTCCTAAACCCTCACAGGTGGTGCCAATTAGGTAATTAGGCATGCGCTATATTAAAGAAAAATATGAGTTACTTAGTCTACTCACTAATTATTATTTTTCCATTCTGTTTTAAATGTGACTGTCTTAAACATCACAAAAATTTGGTCAAAAGATCTGACTACTTTTCTCTAGCTGTGTCCCATGTTCTTCCACATATATGTTTGTGGGGGGGACAATAGCCTGAACCATCCGTGGCGTCCACATGATGGCGCTTGGACATCAGCGGAAAACGGAACTCCGTCGAGCTGGAGGGAAGCCGCATTCGCGCGAGCGCCAAACAAAAAAAACAGTGCGCGTGCGCGCACGCTAAGGATTCTGCATCGCTCCCCCTTTTTCTCTCCCTCCGCTTTTGGCTTTTCTGTGTGCTTAGCGGCGGGGAGACGGAAGGAGGGAGGAGGGGGGTAGGGTGAGGGGGGGAGAAGCGGCTTCCTGCGCGGAACCGCGCCGCCCAGCAACCGGCGGAGCTCGCTCCAACCTCGTTACGCAAATTACCGACAGAGCGGCGCGGCAGTGGGTCCGTTAATGGAGCGTGCGTGCCGCTGGCTCCCGCGCTCGCGCTCGCCTCCGCCTCCCAACTGCACATAATGGCTTATGGGCTGGAGGGAGGCATTCACCGGGGAAGCGCTATTACTCACACAGACACACAAAAACCGAGGCCAGGGCGCGCACACACACATCCGTGTGCAGCCAGTCTAATTATGAAAAGGGCGAGAGTACAGATGCCAATTTTTTTTCTCATTAAAATGGCAAACAAAGTAGGCCCTACTTTGCTTTTTTTTCTTCTTCTTTTCCCCCCGTCTCGTTTTAGATATTAAACCAGGAAAAAATAATCCTCGAGATAACATTCTGTGAAGACTTCCACTGCCAAAGTTTCAACATCTGACACCTGTCGGCACCCTATAATTTGGACAGGACAACAACATTCCAGCTCTAAAGATAACCCCGCATGGTTTGACACCCCAAGAACGCCGCTTTCGACACGTCAGCGTTGAAAACAAGACAACAAAGTGTCGCCTACCATTTCTCTAGAGCTGTACCCTTTGCTTATTATTATTATTGTGAGAATGGGGAGGGGGAAAAAGCTCCATTACTATCAAAATAATGTCGTGTAGGTTAGTTGGTTATGCTGATGATGGCTGAATTCCACTGAGCTCCATCTGTTTTTCCTCCCAACTCCCAGAGGGCTTCGTCCCCAGCCATAATGCTGGGTCGTATTTCAGCGGGCCTTTGGCAGCCCGCTGAGTTATGGCTGGCGGAGGCTGGTGGTGGAGGGCTACCTAAGGCCCGGAGCAGGAGGGGAAGCTCATGTGAGTCATCAACAAAAAAGCATCTCACCAAAACTGTCACACACGTGGACGGCTGACCTATTTTTTTACTTACAGATTGACAGATTTTCTTTTTTTTTCTTTCTTTTTTTGGAACATTTGAAACAAACACACACACACCTATATATATGTTGCAACAGAGGATGTTGCTCTGGCTTAAGGCTCTGACTTGATACATAAGTTGAAGTAACATAGAAACAAATAATGTTTTGATGATCTTATCCCTCTCTGTTACATACAAGACTATCTTGCGTGGGGATAAAAGTTAGAAATGGCAGCACGTCTTCCTCAGTCTCCAGAAGGCAGAGAAGCCCCTGCACTTTCAGATCAGAATCAGAATAAGGTTTATTACCAAGTAGGTTTTCGACTTACAAGGAATTTGCCTAGGTGTTTGCACAACACTTCTATGAGAAGCAGGGAAATACAATGTAGAGATAAAAATATAGAACAGAAAATATGAAACTAAAAAGTACAATCTTTAAATATATAGATCTGAGAATAGAAATATGGATATAAGACTCAAAGATACAGTATTAAATTGCAAATTGCAAATATCAAAAGTATGTATGTATCCTGCCCTTGAAGAACAATAGCACCATTCCCCGTCAAGTAGCGTTGGTTTCCCTAAAAGTCGTCGGGTGTGTTTCCAGATACTCCTTTGGGAGAAGGAAATGACTGAGAGGGCCTTAAATGGTACTGTGACTGGGGATGAATCCACTGGGTTGGTCATCCTTTTTTGTGCTTCATTCTCGTGTAAAAAGATCCTCATGGCAACATGCGAAACAGCCCAACCGCCCGACTTCTTAAGTAGCAGGACTGGTTTCTCTGAGCTAGTTTTAAGAACACACCTGCATACTTTGCCTGAGGTATACAGAACGTTCTGCAACATTCTGGAACTGTGGTATGTGTTGCTCAAATTCCAATCAAGGCCTTGATGCCTTGTTTTTCTCATGATATAGAACATAATACGAAAAAGTCAGGGATAATTTAGAAACTTCCTTTCTTAGAAAAGTGTATTGAGAGTGTTCCTATTGTCTAAACAGCTCGTGTGCGTTTGTCTTATTTGTCTTGATTTGAGATGACCTTGTTTTGTCTAATCTTAGTTAATGAAGAATAATTAGTCGTCTGAATGCCGGCGCTGATTACAGCGTTACCCGAAAATCAGAATCTGAATGCTGAAAACTTTTCTTGAATTGATTGATTGTTTTGGTCTCCTATTATGACCCCGTATAAAAATATTATGGACAGTGTTCATTAATTGTGAGCTTATTAAATGTAAGGAAAAAATTGATCAGCAAGTCATTCAGAAGTCGTCTAAAATGAACTTATGAAACTTATCTGGTTTGTGTAAAGAGGAACCTGTGCCGTTTTGAGTCATCTATAGTTTAGAGCTTAATGCGTTGATTGATACCCATCAATGGAAGGATTCTGTGAAGTTTAATCAGATCTGAACATCTTACTCATTCCAAAGACTTGACTGCTTTTAAATGACCTCATGATCTATTTCCTTTGGTGACTTTGCAGTGGGAACACGTAAACCTCCTTCCAGAGGATCAGAGAGAGGAAAAGACGCTCTGAATCGCTTCCTGGTGCAGCAGTGGAGCAGGTCTGCTCCCTCCACCTGCCGGCGTGCGATGCGGGCTGCTGCCGCTGTTGTTTTTTTATTGTTGTTGTTGTTCTAATTGCTGTTGCTGCCTCGGCTCCAGCCTCCCCGCTGGCACCCCGGGCTCACACTTCTCAGCAACATGCAGCTGTGATGACAAGTACTAGAGTTCCCACTCAAGCTGGCTGTTCTTAGAGCACAGTGCCCCCACCGCCAACCCCCACCACCCCCCCTCCCCCACTTTCTCCTCTCCCTCCCGCTCGCTTTGAAGCCTCTGGGATGATGACGATGATGACACTCACCGTAATCTCTGGATGCTTC